GAGAGAGAGAGAGAGAGAGAGAGAGTGGGATCGCTCACCGTGCTCACTCGTCAAATTGAAGCTCCTGATGGTAAACGACGGCGACTTGCTCTGTACGGTCACGCTGCTCACCAGTTTCTCTTGCTTCTCCGGTTTCCTCGGCTCTCCCTTCTCTCTGTCCACGTCGTACGAGGGTTCTACTGTCTCGTAGCCGTCGCGATGGCCAAGCCTCTCGACCTCCTGCCTTTTCCTCGCGATCCCGGACGAACTGTCCGAGAAACTAGGCGACTCCTGTGACGATTGGCTCTGTAGACGGCTGTTATCACCACCTTCGGGTGTGTGCCTAGGCTCTTGCTCGGTGGACAGACGAAATTTGTTCAGGCTTAATTTGCGTACCAATGAGTTCGACTTCTTCTTTTTCTTCTTCAAGGTCGTCGTCGAGCCACCATTCTTGCAATCATCCTCCTCCTCCACCGGGCTCTGCTTGCGATCCGTCTCTGTCACGCGAAAGAGAGAAAGAGAGAGAGAGAGAGGAGATTTCCGGTCAGAGAACAGATTTCATAGAGAAGTTTTATGGAATTGTATTTTTCGAGGTTTGGATTTTTTTTTAGATTTGTTGGTGAGCGATGAAAAATATCCGATTTAGGGGAATTGAGTTAGAATCTAGTGATTTTAATTGAAGAAATATAATTGATATTATTTATTTAATAATAAATATTAAATGTTAGGTTAAATTGTTAAGAAAATATAATAGATTTTTGGTAAATATTTTGTATAGTAATATATTTTTTTTAAGAATAAATATTTAATTTGATGATTTTAATAAATATAAAAAGAAAAATATATGATAAATATCAGATTACTGAATATAGCTATGAAAATGTAAGTATAAATATGTGTTAATAAATTGTGTGGATGGGTGATTTAAAATTGTAAAAGATAATTTTGTAATTTAATTAAGTACAGAATATATATTATAATAAATATAATTGATATAGAATAAATAAATATATAGATATAAATGATATATATATAATTAAAAATAAAGGATATGATATGAAAGTAAATATAATAAATGATTTATTGATGAGTAGTTAAAGAATTGGAAAAATTGAAAATAGTTTTATGATTTTACAAAAATAAAAAGAATATAATAAATAAATATAAAGGCAATAGATGGGCATTGATGAATAAATAGATAAAAATAATAAATGCATAAGAAGTATAATATGAAGTATAATGCATAAAAGTATAATATATATTATAAATTAGAACTCATAAAAAAAAAAGAATATAATAAAATACTCTATAGTCTTCTAAAAATAAATTAAAATAATAAATACTTCAGCAAAATGTATTATATTTGTACGTGAAAGATTTATGGTATATTATTTTTTAATTAAATTATTTTATTGGGTCAGAGGTTCCTATATTTTTAATTGACTAAAATTGGCACATGAACAGAATCAAAAGTTATGTAAATCAAAAAATAAATTATCATTATTATTAAGCAGTTCTTGATAATTCCGTTTGATAATAAACAAGATACAATGCAACCATTAAGATGATTAACATCTCAAGGAATTCGTTCAGAAATTTAAAAAAGCATCCTATTGATCACTTTATGTGTCAAGTATTATAACGATTAAAACAAAGAAAGTGCCTTTCAAAGAAAATGTATTTAAAAAAGATTTAGAATTTAAAAAAGAAATAGAGAACTGTATAATGTTGAATCTTGTCTTAATGTTAAAATAAACCAATATTCATTTTTTAAAGAAAAATTATTTCTAAAATAAAAAAATAATATTTTGTAAGAATAATAAAAAAGATAATAAGTAAAAATCACAAAAAATTTCTTTGTAATTATCAATCATTTAAAATAAATAAAAAAATATGAAAAAACAACTTCAAACAATTCTACGTTCACAAAAAAAATCTCAAAGATGATCATCTAAAATAATTATAAATATTAGCAAACTAAAATTGAAATTAAAATTAGTTATAGAAAGTAAGCTTTATAAAAAAATAATTTTTTTTAAAAATCAAAATAAATAGAATAAAACAAAAAAATCTTTTGAAAATTCTACAGAGTTCTTTCAGATCATCAAAAAACAAGTAAATCCTGAAACCACCTGAAGAAGCCTTAAAACAATATTCTACCAATAGCCATCGTCAAACCAATACCAATCATCCTCAAAGCAAACAATGACCAATAAAGAGATATACTAATGGTTCTCAATTTATTTTAATTATTAAATTCTTTTTTTTTTCAAAAAAATTAAGTCTAATAATTTTTATAAATATAAATTATTACTACAATGTAATAATTTGTAAATATTTCATTGAATTTTACTTAAATAAATGTGTCTCTTCAAATATCAATTGGAATTCAAGATCTAATTTAATTTAAGAATCCTAAATTCTTTTTAAGAAATATAAATAATTTTTTAAATTTTATATTTAATACGTATTTTTAATAAGTAAATTTTTATCTTAAATACTTTCAATTATTAATTATATATTAATATAAAATCTATTTAATTATTCAAAACTTCAACATTTAATTTCATCACAAAACTCTAAGATCCTATTTCCATAGAAAACTTCATCAACCCTTGCAATCTCGTGACAAACCAACTTCATAGAAAACGACAAAAAATCAAAAAAAAAAAAGATAAACGTTTCAAGAAATCACAACAATCCTCCTCAAACCCAAAAGACCAGA